TTATATATATATATATATTTTCTGTTAAATAACGTGAGCTATATATTACGTATTTTATAAATCATTTTATTTTCAAAGTTAAAACACTGTCTCAATAATAACTTTAATTTACAGGTAAAAATAATCTCGTTAGTTCGTGAAATTCTTGAGAAATAATCGTTTCTTAAATAAAAGTTCATCTTCCATCGTACAGAATGATTCAAACGGACGTTGGCCTTCTACGATTATATACTTATGGAATAGGTATGCGACATTAAAAACATGCAACCAGCAAAGAGAACGAAGATACAAGAGAGTTTCCCTTTCACCGAATCGGTCATCTCTTCTTCACACCTTTCGAAACGAATCATTTTTATTCTTTTATCCACAATACACATAGATTTATTTAAAAAGTCATTTCTAATTTAGGATAGAAGATCAATCACGTTAATAATATTTTATTAGTAATTATTACGAACCTGTACATCAAACCACCAGTGCAAGATTCGAGCAAAGCTCCACCAAAAACGCAAACGTAATATTGCGTGCAATCACGAGGATGAGGATAATAACCAAACTCTTCAGGACACTCAAATTCCAAAGCTGCATCGTTTCTACTGGCTCTCGCACTTCTTGGTGTGTTTCGTGTACAACCTGTACAAAAAAAAAAAGAATTATTTAATCAAAAAGAAAATCTCTGTTTGTTCGTCTCTTCATTTTATTAATTACAATACTTCAATTGATACCTATATTCGTTTATTTAAACATTGAAGGTAATTACCAGCCATTGTTATATAACCAGAAAATAAATATTTAAAGTTAATGATAAATAAATAGATTTAATGAAGATTTAAATCAAAAAAATATACAATAAGTAGCAATAAAAAAATTATTAAAGATATATATACTTATTATACTTATAAAGTATATATTTATATATACTTTTTTTTATATAATATATATAATAATAATTATTATTTAGAAAAAAGTGTTCGCGTAGTAGAAAGAACAAATATTATATAGGGAAATACTATCCGAGAGAGTGTTCGATATTTTTTTGTTTTTGTTTTTTTTTTTTTTTTTTTTTTTTCTTTTAATTAACGACCCAAGTAAAAACATTACAAAATAATTATTATATTATTACTTAAAAACTTCCACACGGTGTATGCTCGGTTGCGTTGGAGTAACGATACAACTCGGTATGGACATTAATTTCATGGTGGAAACTATAATTAGTGAGGGGGGAAGGGAAGGGGAAGGGGGAAGGGAAAAAATAGTACCTTAAGAGTAAATTAGACGTGTGCATTGGTAGTCAGCATTGAAAACAATACTCGTTAATACAAAGAGGACTCAGAACGCATATGGTTACGAATTGATCGTTCAATTTTACGCGCTGCCGCCGATTACACACTTATTTTACTTATACACCTTATTTGGATATTAACTTAACTTTAATTCTAGCCTTTCCATTCTAAAAAGATACATTAGATTAGTTCTTTATGTGTTTAGGATAAGTAATATTTCTTAGATAAATTAGATACTACACACGTATTTTAAGATAACAATTGGATCGTGTGTTTTTAAATGAAATCGAATTAAATTAAAATGTAACATTGATAATTAATTTGATCAGAGATCTATATATGTTGTTTGTTCTTAGAATAAAACACTAGTCCGGGATCTAGTGATATTATTATTGCTCGTTGCATATTGAAATGCGAACAACAAACGTACGTGGTGGTGGTGGTGGTGGTGGTGGTAAACTTGCGCAAGAGAAAAGTAAGCGGATTTTTTGGTCGACCTTGTGCATACGTTCTAGACAAGTTATGTTTCTCTTTATACAAACTTATTCTATGGGTTGGTTGTTCCTATACGTACGATTTATCGAAATTAATATCGATCTTGTATAATTAAAAGGAACAATTGTAACAAGGAAAGTGCATAGACGAGACTTTGATTCTCCTATAATCCGAAAATGTTTAAAATTGGTAATAATTAAAAATGAATTATTATCGATTCAACGAAGAGATTAATTATAGAATAAATTGTAGATCACTGTTGGGAGAACAAAATAATTGAATTTAATTGAAAGAAAATTTCAATAGTTTGATGTTTTCTCAAAATCAATGCAAAAGTGTAGATTAAGATATTATAATAATTCTTTTTTTTGTATTAACTCCATAAAATCTTTTTACAATTTTTCCATAGAGACATTTGGTAAATGAATATTAGAATAATAGAAAATTTGTCATTTAATTGATTTAGTTTGTGTTTATTATTTAATAATCAGAGATGATTAAAAATCAAATAATTTTAGCAAAATAACACTGATTACGATGTGCATATTATCATTTGTAAACTTGCTAAAACTTTCCAACGTAATTTTATCGTGGGATCGGCAAACTCGTAACAGAGGACGAATTGATTTACTAGAAAAGTAAGAGAGAGAAAACTTGCATAACACAGCATCACGGTACACATTTCTATTACGTGAGAATATTTGCCCGAACAACAAACAAAACCCTTGTCTTATTATTATTCCATCGAAATGTTTCTTTCCCATATAAGTTTCTTTATTCGTGTTGATTCGTTAAAACTAGGACAAATATTACGGCGAGTAGCCATAGAAACTGGATCGGTTTTTAATTGTTTTTATGGTTTTATTTATATAACTATATGCAACTCTGTTTCGATTAGTTTTACTAAACAACGTTGACTAATAACAAGATATAAATCGTATTTAAATTCCTGAGATATTATAAATTGGACTCTTGATGCACAACAAATTTTTCTTTTTATTTCTTTTTTGTTTGTTTTTTTTTCATAATAAATTACTCAATACGGGAAGATATAAAATTAATTATCAAGAATATTATATTCGTGTTCTATTCGACATTCAATCGATCACATTTCACGGACCACTTTTTTTTTTCATCGATAATAAAAATTTCTCGACAACTTCTTCCTTTTCTTTTCTTTTTTCTTATTCATTTTTAACATCTTCCTTTTTCTCTACATATTGAAATGTTTTTGCACAGATATAATGGGGCATTAATAAACGATTAATAAAACCTGTCGGAATCGAGTGTTAAATGTATAACTTAATTAAATTTTAATATATCAAATCAAATTTTAACAGAAGTTCATGTTAATATAATTAAATTGCATAGTGAAAGTAAATACACAAATTCCAATAATATTAATATTTTTTGAAAGGTTTTTTTAAATGTTATATAATATAATTCGTGAAAGTGTTTAACAAAAATTTCGAATTCGTTGTGAATATATATATATATATTTCATGGAAATATTAAATAAAAAGAATAAGAGAAACTTTTAAAAGAAAAAGTATAATATTCGTCAAGCATGATTGAAATTAGTAAGACTTATTATCTATAAATGTATAAGAATATACAGAACAAAGTAATCGATAATAATTACAAAATTATTAATATTACAATTGAAATAAACACGAGATAAATAATATTAAATTAATTAATTACATATAATTAAATATTGTCATATAATTACATAAGCTTCTACTTATTTATGCAAATACCAACTCTATACTCGTGATCGATTAATAATGTACACAATATTTTTAAAAAACAGTCTCTTGAAATAAGAAAAAAAAAAACAATCTTATAATCAATAATTTTCATCATTACGTATACACACTTGTATATAAAAAAAAAAAGCATCATTGTATGTCACTTATGCACATGCACATAAGTACATAAATAATACATGAGAGAAGCACGTGGATCCGTATAATTATTATGAATGTGTGAACGTGAAAAAAGATTGAACGAGAGAGAAGAAAAAAAAGAGAGATAGGAGATACGAGAATGCAGTCTTCCTGTTGACATTGAAAGTATCATTTAACTCAAGTCCGAGTAAGGTCATCGAGAAAAGCCAAAATAATGAGAGAAGGATATCCTTGAAAGATGTAGACTAATGATTGAAAAAAAAAAGAAAAAAAAATGATTGAAAGGGAGATCCTGGTCCCGTTCGAAGACCCGTTCGTCTGTAACTATAACTGGAATTGACCTCGAAATCATAGTCTTCGTATTTGTTAGCAAGGTGATCCAAAAAGACGATAGACTCGTTTTCACTGGCTGGTTGGTTAATACTGTTTTACATTAATACGAGTTAAATGACTTTGAAATCCTTCGAGATTTAACAGGAATTTATAAGATGTCCTTTTTTTTTTTTTTTTCTTATTAGCTAACAATTTAAATGACGCATTCCTTAAAGAAGAAATGGGGGAGACGTTTTAATTTATTCTAATGTAACAAATTGTATTTTATTCTGATGTGTACGTTGTGAATAATACAATATAATGAGAACTCATTTTGAACACATTAAATTTACATTTTAATTTGAATTTGTTAAGATATACATCAAATATTTCATAGAATAGTTTGAGGATTAAGAAAAATATATGTTAAACATATACGTTGTTATCTTTTTTTTTTCTAAAAAATTATACGTAATGAAATCTAATCAAATAATTATCAATCAAATTATTATCTATTTGTTTAAAAATACGTGTGTGTATGTGATAAACGCGATTGATCAATTTACAAAATATACTTTATATATATCTGTTCTTTAGAAATATGCATAGATAATTATTTGGATAAGTGATGCAACCTATATTAACCAACACACACACATATTGTGGGAGAGAGGGAGGAGAGTAAGGAAGACTTATTGCAAAAATCATTTCTAATATCTTCTCGGTAGCCAACGTAATTCGTACAAATTGCATTCTCAACAATGATTGAAATTACGTTTCGCAGTTGAACTACTCGCCGACTAAAATAATAATATGATTTTTCATACCTGTAAAACTTATATGTTTGGCATTTTACGTTTGAAATATTTTCATTGGAATAAGATCGTCGAAGAAACATACAATGGAATAATAATATCAAAAATTTATGCATTCTTATTGTATATATATATACAGAAATGATTCTAACACTAGGAATACGTAAGAAATAGCATTGAAAGTTATTTAACGATAACTATTCGATTAGAACAATCGTTAAATGTCATAGACGTGTGAAATATCGTACAAGAATGTGATGTTACATGTAATACATGTATATAAGTGATAAACATCACTTTAATCGATTTTAACTTGAAGATATTTAACAATCCAAAAAGTGCAAGACAAACATTGTAAAGTTCGGTGTGTTCTTAACGATAACATACACATACACACACACGAAGTTTATTCGTAAATGAGATCGTATAAGTCGTTTATAATTAGCCTCGTATAACAAGTATAATTGAATTTGTTGCACTTGGTGCAACACGAACTAACGATTGTTTAAAAAATATAATAACGAAGAACGCGTAACACGATTACTCGGAAAAAGTTTAGAGAAAATATGGAGATGGTTTAAATGTATAAGTCCCATGTAATTTCCTAATTAAATGTCTAGCAAGATCGCGACCATAAATTATTTCATTCTACGTTTTGTCCCAGTCGGAATTTACACGAAATTCATTTGAGTCGAGTTACGTTTCCTTTTTTTTTTTTTTTTTAATTACGTTGATACGATATAAGTATGATAAATAATACGTGTTTGTGTGTGTGTGTGTGTGTGATTACTTGTGATCTACCTAAATGCTTGTTGTTT